TAATTTAAAGTTACACTGCAGTACACAGCCACACAATCACGGTTTTTGCACAAAACTACAGAAAATTTCAAACAGTTAAGGACTTAATATTTACAGTAGTACAGGCCCGGTGTAATGGATCCTTTAAATGGTTTACTTCACTTTCCAATCTATCACTTTAAGAATCTAATTGAAGTTCATGGATCCACCTATTTAAACCTTCAACTTCAATGTGTCAGGGCACAATTAATGTATCTCTACCTGTGTGCAGTTGACATCTATTTACTCTGCTACAGGTCTTTCTATCAAGTCCCATTGACTCTTCCAATTCCCCTCAAAGTTAAATCCCAGTTAAAATGACTTGTTACCTACCTGGATTGCACTTTGACGCTTCTCTCGGACTCTCCTTACTTTGCTTATTAATTATTGCAGAACCGGATTGGATTTGATCCTTCTCTTGGATATTCTTATGGACTGATTTATTGTTGCTGAACCGGACTGGATGTGACCCTTCTCCTGGATATCCCAATGGACTGATTTACTGTTGCCAAACCGGATTGGACTTTAACAAACCTTCTGGACTTTCCTTATAATATTCAAAGTAACCAGATTATCACCTAAACATCACTCTCAATACTGGTGATTATCCTTTATTCTCCCAGACCTACCTCTCATACTGGTGAGTAGTCTGTATTTTTTATTTGTTTGACAAATATATTGTTTAAAATATTACACCCGGATGGGTAAAAAAATTGGTCTGGTAATTTTTAATCACAGCAGGGGCATCATCACTGTCAAACTGAGCAGGTTGATTCAATGCTCTTCCAGGGCATACCATTCGCAGAGCCCTGCATTTGTTTTGCAAAGTGCAAGCAAATTTAATGACATGCTTGTGCTGTATTTGCTTGTCACTCCATAAGAGGGATTCCAGAGGACAAAAGGACCAGGAAAGCATATTGTGCATGTGTTTTGAGGCTGCTAGTGAGAGAGAGTGTGTGTGTGTGTGTGTGTGTGTGTGTGGAGTGAGCTGCTTGTGGTGTTGTGGTTTGTGTAAATAGGTTGATTTCATTTGTGTTGTGTGTGTGTGTGTGTGTGTGTGTGTGGTCCAATATGTGTGGCTAGGGAGAGAGTGTGTGTGCGTATAGGCAGCATATTGTGTATACGGGGATGTAGCAAGTATGTGCATAGAAGCTGTAGTGTATGTGTGAATAGATGATGTAGTGTGTTTAGGGGATCCAGAATGTGTATGTGGTATAGTGTGTGTGTGTGTGTGTAGAAATTCTAGTGTCTGTGTGTGTGTAGAGGATTCAGAGTATGTGTAAGGGATTTAGTGTGTGTGTGTGTGTGTATGTGATCGAGAGTCTGTATAAGTTATGCAGTGTGTGTATCTGGAATATAGTGTGTTTGAGTGGTGCACTGTGTGAGAGGGGTGCAATGTATGTGTGAGGTGTGTGTGCGTGAGTGGTACAGTGTGGATGAGTAGTGTGTTAAGAGTGTAATGTATGTGCGAGGAGTGCACTGTTTATGTGAGGGGTACAGAGCATGTGTGTGTGGGGAGGGTGTTGGGTAAAATGTGTGTATGTGTGTGAGTGATGCAAAAAATGTGCATGTGAAGAGTGCAGTGTGTTAATGTGTTGGGTGATGTAGACTTGTATTGTGTGTGTGTGTGTGTGTGGCAGGGAGGGGCAGATGTGGGAGAGGCAGATGCAAGTATATATATATATTTATATATATATATATATATATATATATATATTGATTTTCTATTTTTTTATTAATCCAGCACTGTCAGAGCATTGCCATGGTAATCGCAGCAACACTCTGAGTTTGCGAGAGGAAGTTTGAGAACACAGATTAGAGCATCGGGTCCTTCTGTCCTCCTTCGGTTCCAGTGAACTAGTGAGGGAGATCTCCTCAACTGCCCATCAAGGCACACACTGCATAGTGGCAGCCCTGCATGGGTTGCCCAGAAGATGAGATCCTCTGATCTCTCCTGTTGGCTTTGGCTCATGGTCATCGCAGGGAAGAAGCCATCCGGGCCTACCCAATCTAAACTTAAGGACTTTTGTTCATCCACTAAATCAATTTAAACCTGCAGAACAATCAAAGAACAGTGCCTGACTGCTATAGACAGACACACTGTACAAAACTGTTCCACACAACAGTGCACATCACAGAAAGCAGAGAAACATATCTTGTCTGCTGTCTCTTTCAAATCACAGTCCATAAAAGTCTCATGTGTAAATGGCTCCACTCACCAGACACACATAGAATAATCAATGGCTAAAGCTACTAGTGAGCTACTAGTCAGCCAGACAGTGTTTCAACAGTGTGTCTCTCTCAATGGCTCAGCTAATGTGTGGAGAAGAGAAAACTGTTTTATATTTATATACTGTTTACTAAGACATTTTATTTTGCTTAAACTAGGGATGCAACCCATACCATAGGCAAAGCTTTTGTAGATCATGCCACAGGAGTGAGATGATTTGCCCAACAAAATCAACTCACTCTCCAATTTCTTTCACATTGTGTCATGCAATGAACAAATGACAGGTGAAAAAATATCCTTTGTTGCACCATAACACAATAGATTGGAGAAATGCCGTGGTAGTTTATTTACTAAATTTAAATAACTTGTTCTTTCAAACATTGACATATACCAAAACCTTTTCTATTCCACAAGTTATTATTATTAAGTAACAAACTCTTGGCATAACCATTACCCAGAGTATTAAAACATTACTTATCCCAGTACAGCCCTGGTAGCGACTGGGATGGCCCTTCCAAAACCACCACAGCCTTATTAACCATATCTTGTAATCCAGAGTTAAAAATGTCTAATCACTCATCTGATAGGTGAACTAAATCCTTTTTAAACAAGCCTTCACAACCCCCTTTCTAATTCTTTATGTCTAAAAGAAAAATCACCCAATGACTACAAAAACGTTGAACCAGTCTTATTGAACTTTCTACTAGTCCTCTCCAATGCCTTAAGACCTAACCCTCTAACCCTTAGTAATCTAGGTATAACCTCCAACTAAATTAACAAAACTTAAGGGAACCAGGTTTTAATTGAAACAATCTTTTTAACAAAAATAAACACAGATTTCACATAACCTAAAGCATTACTCCCAATGTGAATTATGATCACATCTGGCTCTGCAATGTTTAATAACATCCAATAATTGTTCACCTCTCAAACCTCGAACTCCCTACGAACATATCAAAACTTTTGAACAATCAAAATTCAAGTTCTCCCCATATGGTCTATATAACTAATATAACTCTTGAATCTACCCAACTCCCATCTTCCAATTTTTTTAAAAATAATTTTCTCATCTAAACCTTATTTAGCAGCTTCTGTAGCTGCACCTATTCTAAAAGAATATGAAGAGAACTTAGGGTGTCCTAACCTTAGTTCCTTCATGCATAAACTTAAAACTTTACCAAACTGAAATTTTGTTAAAGGGATGCCAGATCTGTGTAAAAGAAAAGGAGCATTTACATTGGGTCTGATTTTGTAAAAATCTTTTGATTGACATCACTGGGCAGCATTAATAACCCACTACCTTCTCAATTGACAAATATTTTCCTTTACCTTCTGTATCCGTTTTTGATCTAGAAATAAAAATTATCTTATTCCCCTCAACGGTCACATCTCCAATTTGCAACCCTGTAGGGTTATTCTTACTTTGTGAGACTAACTCACTCGGACATAAGGCAGCAAAAAAAGCCAAGCTGAATACTGCTTTAAATAGAATAACTTCGTAGTCTAAGAGACATACCTTTGGAAGTACCTGAAATATTTTAAACAAAAGATCAAAAGAAATTGGTCTTCTCTGATCTAGAGTTCTCTTCCTCGTATCATATCCTTTCAGAATTTGATTGAAAATGAAATCCTTTGTAATGACAGGTCTGCCCAGTAATTTCAAGAAAAAAGAAATGGCATGAAAATATCTCTTACATAAATAACATTCCCTGAGAGACCATTATGAATAAGCTTTGCTAAGAATTCTAGCGCTTCATCTCTACTCAATCTCTCTGGATCTCAGCCTTTACACTTGAAAAATAAAAAAAACAGTCATTCCAGGTCCTGAGATAATATGACCATGTAGACTTAGCCAGAGATCTATGGATGTAAATATTCAGTTCTGCAAAATCCAGTCCCAAAGGCTGGGGAGAAACCTCACACCCGTTTTCTTTGCTGAGGGAAGTAACTTCTGGAACCTCTGAAACTGTAAGTGTGAAAGAGAATCAGCCACATTATTGACCTTTCCTGGCAAATATTGTTAAACAAACATTCAAGCACTAAATGTCTTAGTAAATTCAAAACTATTATCGCAATGAAAAATAATTATTTAATTATCCAGATCCTTTCTGCAAATATTTATTGCAGTCACTATAGGAAATAACTCCAAAAGAACAGTTTTTTTTTTGTTTTTTTTGTCAAACCAATCTCCTGCCAATGAGTAGGCCAGGATTCAGCACCACATTTGTTTCCCCACTCTATACCAAATCCTGCTGAACCGGATACATCTGTAAGTATACTCAAATCATCATTAGACCTGAAATCTTCCTGCCACAATGTTCTGCCATTGATACCTTTCAAAAAAGATTTCTAGGGGGGGCGGGGCCTGACCAGCATGGAAGACAGACAGCCACTGCAGAGCTCCTCAGAACACAGGGCAAAACACGACTTTTCAGCACTAAAAGCTTTAAAAAAGGGAAACCCAAATGGTCTCATCTGACCCCCTAAACCGACCATGCAGCCTGTGATCACTCACGTCTGGCAGACCGAATTGCGCCATGAGGCCTGGCGACCGTAGAGCGGGAGAGCCGGCCGATCCCCTGGTCCGGTGCCACGAAATGCTGACACAACGCAAGCAGGAACCCTGTTAACCCCTCCCCCCCCCCAGACCGTCAGGGGTGATCGCGGTCCACACCTGAGAGATAAATCGAGAATGGAGCGGGAACAGTGAGGAAAAGCGTGGGGAAGCATGCCACAAGACGCTGCACCCAACATGGCGGACGCCACGTTTCCCCACGAACCTACAGACCCACAGTATGGGACCCGGCAAAGACTGGAAGCACCCTTCGACAATTTCTGGCGCAAGCTGAAGGCTAAAATGAAACCGACAGCCTCACCACAAATAAGCGAGAGGCGTAAAAGCAACACGCATGGAGGGCCGCCGAGCCAGAACCCAAACAGAGCAACTCGGGCCTACCAGCGCAAAACCGGAGAGAGGTCTGTAAACCCAAACCAAAAACCAAACCAGCATTTTCCATCAAAAAGGCATACAAAGCTGCCGCCCTGACTAACCGGCATCCTTCTGGGCTGGGAGCCCATCAGGGACTTGCCCAATGCCGTCCATACACCCGTGAGGACACCCGGGATAGGGAGAACCCGCAGGACCCCAAGCCAACCACCATGTCTGGAAGGCTCCATGGACACAAGGCGAGGGCTCTCGCTAAGGCCCGGAGCCAGAGACTGGGGAAATCGAGCCACAGCCGGAACACCCAAACGGTACGGCGATTCCACTATCACACGCGCATACAGACCCCATCCAAGAGAAGCAATACTGACCTGTGGACATTGCCTCTGAGCACCACTTATGACCTGTGGACACTACCTTTGAGCACCACCTATGCTTCACTTGCAGGCACCAAGAACATACCGACTATGGGAGTCGGCTGACTTTCGGGAACACATTGGGGGCTAGCCTGCTGCCTTATCACCACGTCCATCTAATCCTAGCGGACACTATCCTGCTTATTCTGTACCAACCTTGTTGATTTAAGTGCAAGCCTGTTTAATTTTCTTTTGGTATGCTATCCCTAATGGTCAAGGTCAGACAAGTAAGCCAAGTAATGTCCCTTTAGACTAACTTGATTAAACAGGGCCCTAAGTTGTTTAAGTTGTTTAAGATTTGAGTCCCATGTCTCAGCATCCCCCCCACCTACATATAGGTCATACTACCAATATGCCTTAAGCGTCAGTCTATAACACAAGTAAAAAGCCTATCTATTTTCTTATTTTCTTATTTTCTCTTATGTTTAACATGAGACCTGCATATTTCACTATAAGCAAAAGTGTACTTAGCTATGACACTCGAAGTTATATGTATACTTAACCTAGCATGTCAAAAATACACTCAACTACCATATGCCATAGCCTAACTTGCTTATACTCTAGCTATAGGTAAAAATGAGGCATTGCGAATCGACAAATGTTTAAACGTTTATTGCATGATATATAAAATACAAAATTTTGGTGCATGTCAAACGAAAGTGAAGCTACACCGGAGGACTGCCTTTGGGGCACCTCGGGTTTCTATGTAACCCTCTACTGCACCTCAAAATAAAAAAAAAAAGATTTCTTTACCCAAAGATCATCTTTTATCTTGTTCACATGAATATGGCAATGTGGAATTTTTTCCTGAGAGCGCTAATGCTAGGTTACTACTAAACACTCTTCCCATAGGGATAACTCTTGTACTGAATGCCAATAAACCAACCAAGGATTGCATTTTAACTGTAACCTTTCTTGCTGACATAACTTTATCTAAATGTTTAACAACTTTGTAACCTTCTCTGAATGTAAACGGAACTCCATTTGTACTGTTTCAACCACAATACCAAGAAACTGCACCTCAGTTGTTGGACCCATTGTTTTTTCATCCGTAAGTGGAGCCCCAAAACAGCCTGAAAAACAGATAAAGTAATCTAGCAGCCTCTTGCAATCCTGTGTCCCTTGGGCCTATAAACAAAAAATCATCTAATGAATAACTGAATCAATACCCGATACCTTTCTCAATGCCCACTCCAAAAAATAAGAAAGTTTCAAAATAAAAACATGAAGGGGAACAATCCATTGGTAAACATTTATAAAAATAAAAATTTTCATCAAATTGAAAACCTAATAAATTAAAAGGTAATGGGTTAATTATCAGTAGTCTGAATGCAGCTTCCACATCTTTTGCTAGCAGGGCACCTTTGCCACAAACGCTTACCCAGTTAATGGCATCATCAAAAGAAGCATAACTCACAACAAAATCATCTTTATTGATGTCGTCATTTAAAGAACAACCCAACGGACAGGACAAGTTGTGAATTAGGCAATATTTCCCTTTTTCCTTTTTAGGAACTAGACCCAATGTTGACCATCTAAATTTAGAGAAAGGGGGGTGAATCAAATGGGCCTTCAATCCTACCCAGTTACAGATCTTTTCCGAAGCAACTAGAGGGTGATCTGTAACCGTTTTTATATTCTCCACCCATTGAAAAGCAGGAGAATTTTCAACTGGAATCATGAAACCATCACGAAAACCTACTCCAATGAATCTGGCCTTCTGCTTGTCTGGGTCAGCTTCTAGAAATGGAAACATGTTTTCCCATTTCACTGGGGTCAAAGCTTTTGTAAATTAACTCTCTAATTGGGATCTGAGAATTGGACACTTTTCAGAAGCAGCGAAAAAGTGGATGGGTCCCGCTGCTGTTGGTGCATTCACGCCTATATTTAGTTATTTGGCCATTTGCATTGGGCCTCATTGAATGCCCAGTAGATGCCTCTTTTTTTGTTGAGTATTGGTATTAAATCTGTTAAAGGAAAAGGGGGACCTTTGTGGCATCATAAGGCTAACCCACAAGCCCACGTCTTTCATAATCCATGACAAATTAGGATGGACTGCCAGTTTATGACGAAACATGTCGTCATAGGTATACCATGCAGAGCCTCCAACATTTTTGTATGCCTCCAGAACTGTGTCAACATATTGAAATAATTCACTGCATTTTTCTGGGTGTTTTTCAGCATAAACTGCAGAGAATATAAAAAAGTCTGTAGCCAATTATTAAATGTTTTAGAAACCTGTTTCTTTCTTTATTTTTCTTTTGAATCTTTCACGGCTAGTATTAGAGAAAATAAATCAATGTAATCACCTTTCCAAATTTTTTTCTTTCACTGCCTTAGTCAGATGAAAACTCAAAGGGGAGCTTTCACATGCCAAGGCTTCTTTCCTACAAACTTCACTAACACCTTGTTCCATATTAGTCTCCTCTACTACCTCCCGTGGGATTCTGTTGGTATCAACCCCCCAAGCCTTAGCTAGATTTGCTCAGGACTTAATTACATCAGCTAAATTAAAAATCATTTCACTAAGTTTTTGTAGATTAAACTCACCTCTCTGCTCTTTCTTCGGCCGTGCTGCCTGTGGAAGAAGCCTGCTCGGACTAGCTGAAATACTTGGAGTCTCTTCCTCAGCCTCCTCTCTTTGTCTGCATTTTTCTCCCCTTCTTCTCACAGGGGAAGGGGGAAAAACCCTCCTGGGATTCTTTTGATGCTTGTCTTCATTGCGAGCATTCTTTTTGTTTTTGGCAATGACTATGGGGTGCTTGCTGTCTTCATTGTCTGACAATTCTCCTCTGCTCTCCTGACTGGCCACTGTTCAACCATAATTCACCTTTTTCATATTAAGTTGTTCAGGAGAAGAAGGACTTTCATTTCACTATTCATATATGAAACATAATTCATTATGAATAAAATAAAAAAAAGTGTGAGAAATTAAGATTTGTTTAAAAATTTTTTGTTTTGCATTGCATTTTAACTGTGAATGTCATTATACTTTTACTGCAATAAAATGCACATATTTTTATTCAGCAAAGTCTCGCGAGTACAACAGTACTCCCAATGTACAGGTTTTATGGTGTCTTGGAAAATTACAGGGTCAAATATAGCGTGTTTCACTTTTCAGTTTATACACATTGAAATTTGCCAGACTGGTTATGTTGCTTTTGAGACTGTATCGTAGCTCCGGAATGAGAATAACCCCCATGATGGCATACCATTTGCAAAATTAGAAAAAGCCAGGGTATTCAATATGGGGCATGTCCAGTCTTTTTTAGTAGCCACTTAGTCACAAACACTGGCCAAAATTAGTGTTCATAATTGTTTTTTGAATTTTTCCCACACAAATATAAATGCTAACTTTGGCCAGTGTTTGTAACAAAGTGACTACTAAAGACTGAACATACCCCATTTGCAATTCCTTGGGTTGGCTACTTTTGCAAATGGTATGCCATCATGGGGGTAATTCTCATTCTCATAGACAACATAACCAATCTGGCAAATTTCAATGTGAAAAAACAGAAAAGCAAGCATTATATTGGACCCTGTAACTTTTAACACTAGAAAACCTGTACGTGGATGGTACTTTTTTACTCGGGAGACTTTGCTGAACTTAAATATTAGTGTTTCAAAACTGTTTTGAAACACTAATATTTGCATTCAGCGAAGTCTCCCGAGTAAAACAGTACACCCCGTATACAGGTTTTAGGGTATCTTGGAAAGTTACAGGGTAAAATATAGTGCTAGCAAATTGAATTTTCTGGACTTTCTGCCTGGAGTCTACATGCATATGTATGTAATTATGTGTATGGGTATATTTACTATATGTATATGTTCATTCTAACTGTATTTTGATGTGAATAAATATATTCATATCAAAATACAGTTAAAAAGTTATATATATAATTTCATTCTATTTTTTTAAATTTATTTTTAATTAATTATTTTTTTTCTCTCTCGTTAATATATATGTGTAATTTTCTTCTAAGTGTATTTTTATATTAATATATGTATATATTTTTTAAAAATATACTTGGCATGACATATGACATTATATATATATATATATATATATATATATATATATATATATATATATATATATATATATATATATATATATATATATATATATATATATTTATGTATTTTCAATTTTACAGCAGCAGAGAGACAGTCTGACAGCCCAGGCAGTCCCCCTTCAGGCAGATACAGACACCTATTGCGGCCATAAGACCGCTCTTTTAGAGCGATCACATGGCCCGCAGGGGCCTAATTTGCTGAGGGGGGACTGTCTGGGCTGTCAGGCAGTCCCCCCAGATCGGGAGTAACACGGAACGACTGTGATCAGGAAAGTAATAAGGATGGCAGGGACGTTCTATGCTGCCTGACGCGTTTAGAGCCACCCTAAGAGGACGGCATAGAACACCCGCTGTCCCTGAGGCGTTACGTTATTCTGTCAAAGTGAGCTGAGCTGAGAATTACCTCAGCTTTTTAAATCTTAACTGTCGTGCTATCCTAGAATGCTGCCCTCCAATCACAGCCCTGCACTGCTAACACTGACTACTTTCCCGCTAAAACTAACTGAAAACTAAGCCCCTCCCTCCACAGCTACATGTTGTGTGGGGCTAATGGCCCGCACTATCAGTCTGTCTATCTGTCTGCACGTAGCTCCCTCCCCGCTGCGCTCAGCACACACAGAGCCAGCTCTGCGCTTCCTTATAAGGAGATCCCGCCAGGACACAGGAAGTGCTTGTTGTCACCCAGAATAACTTCCCCAGTCCCTGTCTCCGCTCCCTCGTGCTGTGCGGATAGCTGTCCCGGGGGATCCAGGATCGCTCGCACACCGTGACCGGAGCCAGCAGCTGGCGCCATGCAGGTGAGAGCGAGGCCGGACTGACAGCACAGCTCGCCCTCCGCCATGGGAACCGTGATTGTTATTATCACGCCATGTGCTTCTTCCTGTATAGAGCGTCGGGCGGGGAGGTCTGGGAGAAACGGACATTGTGTTATTATTTTATATAATGGGGTCCTGTCACTGTTATCATGTGTAAGGGGGCTGCGCTTTATGTAGGGGGGCTGTGCTTTCTGTAAGGAGGGGGGCGAGCTTTCTGTGGAGGGCTGTGCTTTCTGTAGGGGGCTGTACTTTCTGTGAGGAGGGGGCTGTACTTTCTGTATGTACTTTCTGTGAGGAGGGGGCTGTACTTTCTGTGAGGAGGGGGCTGTGCTTTCTGTAAGGAGGGGCTGCTTTCTGTAAGGCACTTTCTGTAGGGGGCTGTACTTTCTGTGAGGAGGGCTGTGCTTTCTGTAAGGGGGCTGTGCTTTCTGTAAGGGGGCTACTTTTTGTGGGGGCTAGCTTTCTGTAAGGGATGTGAGGAGGGGGCTGTGCTTTCTGTAGGGGGCTGTACTTTCTGTGAGGAGGGGCTGTGCTTTCTGTAAGGGGGGCTGTGCTTTCTGTGGGGGCTGTACTTTCTGTGGGGGGCTGTGCTTTCTGTAAGGGGGCTGTGCTTTCTGTAAGGGGGCTGTACTTTCTGTGAGGAGGGGGCTGTGCTTTCTGTGGGGGCTGTGCTTGTGGGGGCTGTGCTTTCTGTAAGGGGGCTGTGCTTTCTGTAAGGGGGGCTGTACTTTCTGTGAGGAGGGCTGTGCTTCTGTGGGGGGCTGTAAGTGGGGCTGTTTCTGTGAGGAGGGGGCTGTGCTTTCTGCTGTGCTTTCTGTAAGGGGGGCTGTGCTTTCTGTAAGGGGGCTGTACTTTCTGTGAAGGGGCTGTACTTTCTGTGGGGGGCTGTGCTTTCTGTGGGGGCTGTGCTTTCTGTGGGGGGCTGTGCTCTGTAGGGGGGGCTGTGCTTTCTTTGGGGGGGCTGTGTGCTTTCTGTAAGGAGGGGGCTGTGCTTTCTGTGCTTTCTGTAAGGGGGCTGTGCTTTCTGTGAGGGGGCTGTGCTTTCTGTGAGGGGGGCTGTGCTTTCTGTGGGAGGGGCTGTGCTTTCTGTGGGGGGGCTGTGCTTTCTGGGATGAGGGGCTGTGCTTTCTGTGAGGGGGCTGTGCTTTCTGTGAGTCCCAGGTATATTGAGTGATAAATCTTACTGTTTATCTACTGAGGGCAGATACAGAGAAATCTTATTCCAGGTTTATTTACAGTTAATTTCCACATAATTATGGGAAATATAATCTAAAAGCAGCTGAAGGGCCAAAACAGAGCATCCCCTAGGGCTAAGCTCAATGTAACCAACATGTCATTCCCTAATAACATTACAGAGTGATTGCCTTACATCACAGCTCTGGGCACATTACATATTTGCCCCAAGCTGAGGATTTTGGTTGCCGGGTACCCAGTATCTCAGAACTGCCCATTAGGATTGCTGTATATGTTTTCCTGGACACGTGCTTTCATGATGTTGATGGTATGTGCCTGGAAAGTGCTGTCTATTAATACAACTTATATGGTGCAGGGTTCTGGGGATGGTCCTTTACTGGGTCACCTCGGCACTAATCAGAATAAGATACAGTACATTTTTCACTATGTTTTTTGTGAATGGGGAGCTACTATCAGCCTATAAGCAGTGTCCAGTCTGAGGTTTTATGATTTAAGCCTCTGACTCAAACGGAAGTGGAGGGGCGGTCACTGTACTGAAGACTTGGAGGTTAAAACCGTTCGTTAATGGTCAGGGATGGGGAATTCCTATTGCCCATTCTGGGTGCCGGCAGGAAAATTTTCAATTTATTTTCCTATTTTCCCTAACACATGGACGGGCCAGGGAGTGTTTGGTTTGAACCTCCATCGGGTGCAAGTACAGTAATCGCACCCTAACTGTCCTGCACTTACTAATGAATATCGGGCCACTAGGAAGCAATCACTGTGCTTTGCACCCGAAGGAGCTGCAAAACAGGCTGTTCGGGCTGCTCTACCTTCGACCCAGGCTGTCATACTGTCAGCTCGTGGGTGGGGGCTGGCATCGGGCTCAGCATCAGAATTTCAATCTACTTAATGCTGAGATGCCCTCCCCACATAAAGACACCAGACAAACTACACACTGCAAGTATACTATGAGAGGGATAGACATTCAAGTTGTGGCCCCCAGTATTTCTATTTAAAATTATTTTGTGGGCCTGAACAAGTAGCTCACGTGGATTGGGTTACCACTCTAGTCTCATGGACAAGTAGATTTCTACTACTCTGATGATTTAACTCCTAAAGGTAAACTTGCACCAAGGACCTCCATGTACTATAACAAATTAAAGGTAATCTATAGTGTTAGCCATACAAAGTTGTATTCCTAACTCCATAGTGCCCCCTGGGCCCACCCCCTCCCTCATGCCCTTTATGGCACTTAAAGGGATAAAAACTCTTAATTTACTTACCTAATTCCAGCTCCGACATCATCCGATGCAGGGACCTAATACGCATACAGAGCATGAGGATGTCCAGCATCGTTTAAGGGACTCAGACTCCGCTAGAATCCAGGAAGTGCCTCTAGTGGCTGTTTAGTAGAGAACCACTAGACAGTCTTAGTACTGCAATATAAACATTGCAGTTTATGAGATACTGCAATATTTTACATTGCAGGACTAAAGGGGACAGGGGCATCTAGACCACTTCAATGAGCTGAGGAGCTCTGGGTGCCTACAGTGTTCCTTTAATTCTAATTAAGTTGCTATGGTGCCCAGAGTGTTACATAAATCAGTAGCCAAATATCCCTGGATTTGCCTTGATTATTTTTTATTTATTTTGACCAATATTAGCAATGGGTTATGTACAGTAAGACAGATGTAAATACTAAGAAGCACTAATGGTGTCATGCCTACTCGAACATTTGTATGTTACTACAGTAGCTCCCTTTTTGTTTATTATTATGTTATTATTTATATAGTGCCAACAAATTCTGCAGCGCTTTACAGTGGGTGGACTAACAAACATGTAGTTGTAATCAGACAAGTTGGACACACAGGAACAGAGGGGTTGAGGGCCCTGCTCAATGAGCTTACATATAGAGGAAGTGGGGCAAAGTGACACAAAATAGTATTAGATTAATGACAGTTGCAAGAGAGGAATCAGTCGGGAGCTATTAACAGTTTAATAGATACGCTTTTATGAAGAAGTGGGTTGAACCTGTTTAAATTTGTTCAGCATTAGCACAGCACAATGTCTAGCATACACCGATTTCTCCTGGTGTATCATGTGCAGGGACGTATTAGCCGCGAGGCAAACAAGGCATTTGCCTTGGGCGGCATTTTTCAGGGGGCGGCAAAAAACGCCGCCCCCCAAATGCCCAGGGCAAATGCCTTGTTAGCCTTGCGGCTAACTGACATCCCGAGTGGCTGCAGGGCGGGCGGCGCTGGGCAGGCGGCTGGCGAGGGAGCTCTTCCCCTGAGCGCTCTGCTCAGCTCCCTCGCGCACCGCAAAGTGAGGCTGGGAGCCGGAAGATGACGTCATATTCCGGCTCCCAGCCTCACTCTGCAGCCGACGGGCGAGGGAGCTGAGCAGAGTGCTCAGGGGAAGAGCTCCCTCGCCAGCCGCCTGCCCAGCGCTGCCCGCCCTGCAGCCACTGGACCACCAGGGAGAGAGACCGCCCCCCCCCAGCACTCCCAAAGGTAAGGAGGTTGGGGGGGGATTTAAATTTAAAAAAAAGTTAATGTGTGTGTGTTTGTGTCTGACTGTGTGTGTGTTTGTGAGTGTGTGTGTATTTGTCTGTGTATGTGTCTCACTGTGTGTGTGTGTGTGTTTGTGTCTGACTGTGTTTTTGTTTGTGTATGTGTCTGACTGTGTGTATGTGACTGTGTGTGTGTGTGTGTTTGTGTCTGACTGTGTGTGTCTGACTGTGTGTGTGTTTGTGTCTGACTGTTTGTGTCTGTGTATGTGTCTGACTGTGTGTGTGTTTGTGTATGTGTCTGACTGTGTGTGTATGTGTCTGACTGTGTGTGTTTGTGTCTGACTGTGTGTCTGACTGTGTGTGCGTGTGTTTGTGTCTGACTGTGTGTGTGTGTGTGTATTTAGAAGGTGGGGCGGGGGGAAGGGTTGGGTGGGGGTGGCGCGGGGGGGAGGGGGCGCCTGAGTTTTGTCCTGCCTAGGGCAGCACAAAACCAGGATACACCACTGATCATGTGCCAATACATTTTGTTCTGTGCTTTAAGGCAGACCATTACCATGCATCTTATGGCTACACCAGTTCTGTTTCCAGCTGTTGTTGTATTGTCTTTTAGCTTGTTTAGCACCACAAAGGTTGCCTAAAACAGCTGTATCTCTAAATGTGACCTAGCTCTAGATTGTAAGCAATAAGGTCCCACTCTGTTCTTGTGACTGTTGTAAACGTGCACATTGTCTTACATAATGGAACCTTTTGATGCTGTGATCCAATAAAGGACCACCATAGGCACCAAGACCACTTCAGCTCAGGTTAACCCTGCAGCAATAAACATAGCAGTTTCAGGGAAACTGCTATGTTTACACTAGGGTTAATCCAGCCTCTAGTGGCTGTCTCATTGACAGCCGCTAGAGGCGCTTCTGTGCTTCTCACTGTGAAAATCAGTGAGAAGACGCTAACATCCATAGGAAAGCATTGAGAAATGCTTTCCTATGGACTGATTTAATGCGCGCGGCTCCCTCCGCGCATGCGCAATCCGCAGAAGACGTCAGAAGAGGGAGGTGAGTCCCCCGCGCCGAGGGAGCCCGGCGCTGGCAAAAGGTAAGCATTTAACCCCTTCCTCCCCCTTCAGCCCGGCGAGAGTGGGACCCTGAGGGTGGGGGGGAACCTAAAGACGCTATAGAGCCAGGAAAGTAAGTTTGTTTTTCTGGCACTATAGTGGTCCTTCAAGAGTATTTTTGTATTTCTGTCTGCCTGTATTTGGTTTTTAATTAATGTATCTTAATATCCCCATTTCTTGCATAGGATCCAAATGCCGACACAGAGTGGAATGATATTTTACGTAAACATGGCATTGTTCCTCCAAAAGAGACCCCAAAGGATGAGGAGGCAGAAGAAGAAGATGTCCTTCAGCAACAGTCAGTAGGTGAGTGACACACAAATGCAGGCTGGTTATGCTTTGCATTAGAACAAGGCTGCAACATTTGTTTTTTCTTACTTGACAATATGTTACAAACTTTAAAACAAGTACATTTCCATACTCCTATAGAATACACACTTTGAGTCCTTATATGCAATAAGACTAATAAAAACAGATCTACCTAAACATAATAAAATAATGACCCATAGTCTAATAGCAAGTAAAAAAAAAAAATAAAGAGTGAATTTCCTGTTAGTAAAAGTATCTGCTCACATAAATAATAGACTCACACAAAGAAGAAAGTGGGAGAGAGATAAAAGGCAATGTAAAACATTTATGATAAAAAACAAGCGGTTTGTAAGCATAACAAACCTTTTTAATTTTTGCTGTCATACTTTTATGCTGATTTTATTTAGTATAAAAGTGTAATGAAAATGCAGTACCCACAATGAGGGATGCAGTTCTTAAGACAATAGGGAGCAGGGGAATATTTGATGGTAATCGACATAAAACCTTAGAGTACATGCACAGACTGCTAAGATGTGATGCAAGTTCCAAGGTAATTGGCATGATAAAATGAATAACCAGTCTAAAAGTGAAGCCGGTTGACACAGCAATGCTTTAAAGGTATTTAGTGAGGTGAAAAGTATTTCACAGTATCAAATGCTTTTCAAGCATTATAGTCTGACAAGATTGCATGACCAGTACTGAAGGCAAATCAAACACGTGTGACGTGAACTAGCTACCAAAATGATATTTTTAGAGGTAAGAATATATTCCAACTGAGAATCACTTAAAATGGCAGCACTCCCAAAGGAAGTGAACAGAACGCCTCAGTATTTATTTATTTATTACTGGTATTTATAAAGCACCAACAGATTCCACAGTGCTGTACAATTAGAGGAGAACGTACAATATACACAGACAAATACAAGACGTAGAGAGAGGCCTGCCCATAAGGTGAAATCTAGCCATTGGAGCTCTTTTATACAAAGTGCTTAGCTAGATAGTCCATGAGCTTACAATCTAAAGGATACAGTGGGGATTTGAGACAAGAGGTAGCAGGGGAAAAATAAAGTATGTCATTACATTCTTTAAAAAAGCAAACTAGGTTGTGGAAGATAAAGTCAGTTTGCTTTTTATTGCCATTTGTTTAATATTTTTGCTTTTGTTATTAATCCCTACCTTGGAATTTTTTCTTCAATAAATATCCATAATATTTTAATCTGTTCCCATAATAAAATATTCCAACAAAATAAAGAAGACAGTCTAAACTTAAAATACAGTTGCATTACAATTATAATTCAAGTGTTGCTTTAAATAAGGAGGCCACGAAGTCATTTGAGTGACCTTAAAACTACCTTTATAAAGCTATGTTTCATATGTAAATTTGTCTTGTAGGCACATGTCATGAATAGAACTCCTGCTAAAAAAACAAAAGTGAAGTGAAAAGAGAGGGAAAAAAAGGGGTGGGGGTCTATTGTATTATATATTAAATCTTAAGTCTCTGCACTGAGATACTCTGTTATTTAAATTATTTAAATTTCTTTCCACCACTTTTAACTCCTCACTGAAAGGGGCTTGATAAAGGGGCTGTTTGAAGATACGTCCGCCATTTGTCGGTTACTTTAGGGCTTAATTTTCCTATTTTTGTTTGATTCCACATGATAAGTTCATAATCTACTGTAGTAGACATTAATTTCTTGTAAAGATGGCAAATTTGAAGATTTCCCGTTTCTGGCTATTAGTATTGCTGTTGTTGATAGGAGTAGAATTTTTCTCCGTGAAACTTTATCTATGGTTTCTGATAAAGCTTTTAGAAGTATCATCTTAGGGGTATGTTCAATCTTGTGAGATGTAATTTCTTGAACCAATGATACTATATCTTTCCAAAGAGTATTTACCTTATCACATGACCACCACATATGCATCATGTACCTTTATGCGAATGGCACCTCCAACCAACATCTTCTGATTCCGGATAAATTGATCTAAGACGAGTTGGTACCATATACCATCTATATAGAATCTTTCGAGATGTTTAAAAGTGGGATGTGCATGTTGAAAGTTCTTCATGTGCTGTGAAAATGTTTCCCCATTCCTCTTGTTATTGTTTCTTGAATATCAGTTTGTTATTCTGTCATAAATTTCCATTTTGTTATTTCTTGTGAGTTGTTGAGGCTATAATAGCAAATCGATAATATTCTTTTTGGTGAGGATAAAGCTGCACATAGTTGTTCAAATTTCATAATAGAGGATCGTAAAGTTTGTTGAATTGTGCATATGTTATTGTTGATCATAAGTGCTTTTATTTGAAGGTATGCAAAATTAAAATGTGAAGGAAGTTCAAATTCTATTTGGAGGTCAGGAAAAAGCTTTAGACCATCTGTTTTGAAAAGATGAAAAATATTTGTAATACCTCTTCGGCTCCATTGAGCATAGGGAAATGTGTTGTTGCAAATATATAAGATTGTAAGAGGAGCCGCTAATGACCAAGGGTATGATGAACATAATTTTACTCTGTTGATATCCCATATATTAAGTAAGAGCTTGGTAGTAGATAGAATATCCTGGGGTGTCTTTCGTCTTTGTTTAGGCAACCAGATCAAAGAAGGTAACTCAAGAGGTCCGCTATAGCTATTTTCTATAGCAACCCATTGGGGGGTATAGTTACTTAAAAGTGCGCTAATTAATTTGTTAGAATTGCCGAGTAATAATATAATTTCAAGTTTGGGAAGCCCATGCCACCATGTTTCACTTGTCTCAGAATTAATCCTTTTGGGACTCGAGAGTATTTCCCGCCCCAGTTAAAGTGAATAAGTATCGCCTGCAGGGTTGAAATATACCCTTGCGGAACTTTGATTTGTAATGATCTGAATAGATATAACATTTTTGGTACTATGGTCATTTTAATTGCCGCTATTTACATATGTGACCAAAATGTAATTTGAGCTTTTTGAATACAGATAATATTAGTGTCATATAGTAACTCACCAAAACTAATACATTATAAAATAAGTTAAAATCCCACGTATAACATAGGTTGATTGTTTTACTCTTAACGAGGGTAATATGGGGAGGTGATTTGTATACTATATGTCATGTATAGTGAGTGAAGGTAAACCTTTTCCCCCTTCCTTTTTCTTTTTTCTGTATCCTTTATATGTCAAAAATGAATAAAAACATTTAAACTGGAAAATAAAGCTATGTTTCCATCTTTTGCTCCAGTTAAGACATATGAAACTCTGGAAGAGAATGAAGATGATTTTAATGAGGAAGATGAGCATGCCATAGAACTATACAGGTATGTAACTTTTCATTGGAAGTGTATGGAAGTGTAGATTTGTATTTCTAATGCTATAGGGTCCAGTTTGTAAGGAAAAATTTGTAAAATAAAGGTTTAACTTAACTTTTCTCCAGCACCGAGACTCCCTCTGTGCCACTGACACTCTGCCTCCTGCAACATCATCGTGGAGGCATTGCATTCCAGGCATCATCCTATCCATTGTACCCCATACAGGCAGTGGCGTACATACCAGGGTCGCAGGGGTCGCGGCTGCGACCGGGCCCGGCCCACCAGGTATGTACCTACAGGGCCAGCCTCTTCTCCTGGGGGGGCCCAGGAGGCGGCCACCTCTGGGCCCCCCGAGGCTGGCCCTGCTGTCACCGGGCAGGCAGGCGGGAGGGCGCGCGAGGGAGCACTCTGCTCTGAGTGCTTCCTCTACAGCTCCCTCGCGCACCGCACTGATGCCGTAGCTGGAAGATGACATCCCTATGCGGCGCGAGAGGGAGCTGAAGAGAAGGCACTCAGAGCAGAGTGCTCCCTCGCGCGCCGGCCACCCAGGAGCCCCAGGAGCCCAGCAGCACCACCACTGGACCCCAGGGAATCCCCCCAGCACTCTAAAAGGTAAGGAGGCTGGGGGGATTAAATTTAAAAAAAAAATTGTGTGTGTTAGTGTGTGTGTGTTAGTGTGTGTGTCAGTGAGTGTGTCTGTTATTGGGTGTGTGTCTGCTAGTGAGTGTTACTGTGTGTGTCTGTTACTGAGTGTGTTTGATGTCTGTTAGTGAGTGTGTGTTTGTCAGTGAAAGTGTATGTTTTGTAAGTGAGTGTGTATGTATGTCTGTCGCTGAGTGTGTCTCTGTCAGTAAATGTGTGTGTCTGTTAGCTAGTGTGTATGTGTCTGTTCGTGAGAATGTGTGTGTGTGTCTTCAGCATTTACCTTTCTCCAGCGTCAGACTCCCTTGGTGCTGGGGATCCCTCCGCCTCTCAGCTCCGAATGCACATGCGTGGCAAGAGGCGCGCGCGCACACATTTAAACCGCCCATAGGAAAGCATTAATCAATGCTTTCCTATGGACGTTCAGTGTCTTCTCACTGTGATTTTCACAGTGAGAATCGCGGAAGCTCCTCTAGCAGCTGTCAATGAGACAGCCACCAGAGGCTGGATTAACCCTCAGTGAAACATAGCCGCAGGGTTAAAACTAGAGGGACCTGGCACCCAGACCACTTCATTGAGCTGATGTGATCTGGGTGTCTGTAGTGGTCCTTTAAGTGTGTGTGCATACCGTGGTCGCGGGGTCGCAGCCCTGCAACCCCTGCGACCAGGTGCCTGCCGCCATGTGTTGCGGCCCCAACCCGCGCCGAGTAAGCGCGGGGGGGGGCCCACGGATCAATTTTTGCACCGGGGCCCCATGGGTCATGTGTACGTCACTGCATACAGGAGCAGCAGGGACGTGATGTAAATATGTGGCGTCTGCGCACGCAATCAAATGCTTCTCAAAGGAAAACATTGAATTCAGTGCTTTCCTATGAGCTACATTTGGTCACGTTGTAGGGTTAACAGGACGGGAACACTTCATTGAGATGAAATAATCTTGGTAACTTTAGTAGTCATTTTAAATGTATTAGTGGCAGACAATTGCTGGGTATGTGCTTGATTTTATGTTTGTACTATACAATTTTCAGTATTATGCTTTTAGTCCTCTCTGAATGCAAACCAACAGTTTGTTTAAAAAATAATGGCTTTCAATTCTTTTTTCAGGCTGCAGCGAATAGCTCAGTGGCAAGCAACTCAAGTGAAAAATAAATTTGGCGAGGTGGGAGAAATATCAGGACAGGATTACGTCAGAGAAGTGACAGAAGCAGGCAAAGGCATTTGGGTCATTTTGCATCTTTATAAGCAAGGGTAAGCTACATTGTTCAGAGCAATGAGTTTTGAAAAGTCTTCTTGAATATTCCTGTCTAATTATTAGTGAGATCCTAATCTATGCAGATTTCCTTCAACTAAGAACATTAGAAATCAGGTAGTTATCATTTGTACAGCAGGCTAAACACCAGTGTATTTCATGACAAAGTGCTATGCAATAGGGGTATATCTGTTAAAAAATGTGAAAGATTCTGTCATAGGTTAATGCTAATGAATCCATGCAAGTGAGAGGGAAAGACAAGTATCTGTTCCATTCTAAAACCAGTGATAATGTGCCAGTAATTCATCCATTTCGGGGGTTAATCCATAAGAGCGGTAGTAACCAGTAAATCCTTCAATTAAGGGAGCATCTGATTTGGCACTGACCAAAGTATCCAATGATCTACTCACTGCAAAATCTCATGGTCACTACTCTATCCCAATTCTCCTTGACCTGTCTACGGCTTTTGACACTGTTGATCATCACCTTGTTCTCATCCTCCGCAATATCTGTCTACAAGATATTGCTCTCTCCTTGTGCTCCTCCTACCTCTCCCAGCGCTCTTTCAGTGTTTCTTTCTCTGGCCCTGCTTCTTCTCCCCAACTCCTCTCTGTTGGTGTCCCCCAAGGTTCAGTCCTTGGTCCCCTACTGTTCTCCATTTATACTGCCTCCCTTGGTAAACTCATTAGCTCCTGTGGCTTCCAATATAATTTATATGCAGATGACACGTAAATCTACCTGTCCTCTCCTGATCTCTTCCCGTCCCTCTTGACTAGTGTCTCTGATTGCCTCTCTGCTATTTCTAACTGGATGGCTGCCTACTCCCTTAAACTAAACTTGACCAAAACTGAAATTCTGGTCTTTCCTCCCTCAAGTGCTGTTACTCCTGTGTCTGTCTCCCTCCAAGTCAACGGTGCTACCATCAGCTCCTCCACGCAGGCTCGTTGCCTGTGTGTTCTCTTTGACACCGACCTATCCTTCGAGCCTCATGTTCAGTCTATCGACAAATCCTGTTGTTTCCACCTCAAAAACATTGCGCGCATCCCATTCCACTGTCCTTTCTCGCCTTGACTACTGTAATCCACTTCTCAGTGGTCTTAGTGCTCCCAACTTGCGCTGTTACAGTCCATAATGAATACGGCGGCGAGGCTCATCTTCCTGTCCGCCCGCACCTCCCACGCCTCACCCTTCTGTCAGTCTCTACATTGGCTTCCTGTTAGATATAGGGCTCAATTTAAAATTCTGGTTCTTGCTTTCAAATCTCTAAATAATGCTGCTCCCTCCTTCATCTATCCTCCCTAATACACAAGTATGTCCCGTCTAGGCCCTTACGCTCTGCTAAAGACTTACGTCTATCTTCTGCCGTACTCCCACCTCTGATGCTCACCTTCAAGACTTCTCGAGGGCTGCACCGTTCCTGTGGAACTCACTTCCCTCCTCCATTAGATGCTCATCCAGTCTCCACTCCTTCAAAAAATCATTAAAAACCCACTTCTTCATAAAAGTGTATCAATTAAACTGTTAATAGCTCCCGACTGATTCCTCTCTTGCAACTGTCATTAGTCTAATACTATCCTTACCTTTTGTGTCACTTTACCCCACTCCCTCTAGCATGTAAGCTCATTGAGCAGGGCCCTCAACCCCTCTGTTCCTGTGTGTCCAAGTTATCTGGTTACAACTACATGTCTGTTCGTCCACCCACTGTAAAGCACTGCGGAATTTGTTGGCATAATAATAATAAAAATTAATAAACAAACCTAGCAAAAAAACAATATTAATCCAAGAGTGCAAGGGTTATCCATAGTACTTAATCCACGACATTGATCAGGATCAGCAATGGAGTAATCTTAATATTTTGTTCCGCAACTTGGGTCAAGTAACAACTCTGCTTTTGATACCTAGAATTAATCTGAGCTCTTGCTAAATATTTTGTGAGACCTAAATACACAAGGAGGTGTTCCTGTGAAGGTTTTATGCAACTTTGTCTCCTTTTGAAGTGTTTCCATGTTTTATTATAGTCTGTTTCAACAAAATGGGCTTTTAATGGTTCCGCAGACCAGATTTGCAAATCCGCTATTTGGCTGTTGCCACACACTTTTATGGAATCAGACATCTAAGCCTCTCTAAGCTTTATATAGATGAAAGATGCTCCAAGTGGTGGTGAAGAAATAGAACAACATACCCTTCAGTCATCTTGTGACTTCCTGGTATTGATACTGCTTGAATCTGCATGAAGAAAAAAAAAGTTATGTCACTGTAACTTTCTTTTTCAAATAGGTTTTGCATGAATTATTGACTCTTTTCCTTCTGGGGAGATTTTGGCTTTTCAGTATTTTCTAGTTGATGTTGGAGAAGCAAAGGTTATTTACTTGCAAAAAATATATATATTTTAGATTGAGCTGGCTTCCTTCTAAGACGCATTCAAAAGCCATATTGTTATTACCATTAATAATATAAAAATAAATACATCGAGTAAGCATATTTTTATATATTTTTCCCTTTTTAATTTTTTTTTTGTATTTGTTTTTCTTAAATTGTATGCCATTTATGAGATCTTTAAGCTTATGTTTTGAAGAAACATTCTAACAACATTGTGTCTTTTAGAAGACAAATCTGGTCATCTAGAATATTCCAAGTATTTAACTTCACTTAGGTTAAAATGTTTGAATTGTTTATTTATTACTGCAATTGGAAAAGTATAGACTGTTTGTTTGAGATTATAGATTATTTCTGTACTAATTGCATCTCTCTGGTTCTCCTCTTGGCTTCTAGAATCCCAATATGTACTCTGATCAATCAGCACCTATCGGTACTCGCGAGAAAGTTTAAAGATGTGAAATTCCTAAAAGCCATTTCTACAACTTGTATTCCCAACTATCCTGACGAGAATCTGCCCACCATATTTGTATACCTTGATGGAAACATTCAAACTCAGTTCATCGGGCCACTTATGTTTGGTGGCATGAATCTTACCAAAGATGGTAGGTGAAAATATGCTAGTGTTTTAAGAAAGCAAATGTAAACAGAGGCCATTAAATAGTATCAACCTTCAGGAAGTGTGTGTGTGTGTGTATATATATATATTTGATTTTCTCACCCCTCCTGGGTGGTATGTTTATTCCTCATTCTCGGGTCCTCTACCAGAGGCCTGGGAGTTTGACAGTTCTGCACAGTATCTTAGCTGTTCCTACTGGCTATAATCACTAGCTCCAGTAAGAGCTACACAGCTATACCTGCTAGACTCTCTGGAGTAGGAGAGGTCCACCCACTGGAAGCTGGATCCTGGGCTTGGGGCCAGGGTGGTTGGAAGACAGCAAGACCCCAGTCAAGCTATGGTGGGTAAGAGGCTACGGTGCTTATGGTGTCCGGTGTTGTGCATATAGTACTCCAGGCTACTAGTAAGCAGCGATTGGTGGAGGCATCCAGTCGAGGTGCCAGGCGGTCCTTCACACTGGGGCTGACCAACTCTTAATGTGTGCTGCTCTCTGTTGGATATCTTCAACTGTGATAGTGACTGGTTCCTGTTCTGGCAGCATGCAGTGGTCTGCTTTTAGGTCTAGTAGCCACTGGGCCTTGGTAGTATGAGATGCTTCTTTCTCCCAGATATTCTTCCAGTACTGTTCAGTCTCAGTTTTGGGTGGGTCTTGCGAGGAGATGTGGTGGTCACCCTGTAGCTGTGCATACACCTTGGATGGTTCTTTGGTAAAGAGGGCATTGATTCTCTTAGTCTCTGCTTCTCTGGTGTATCTGCTCAGTCTGGTTGTCAGTGCTGTCAGTCTTTGCTTAGCTGTTTCCGGTGCCTCTGGTATAGGCAGATCCTTGTTTTTCTGCAGCAGCCAGGATCTGTCTTTGATCTTTCCACCTCTGTTAAGTTGATCCAGCTTACTAACTTTCTTCCATGTTGTCTTTATCTTGGCTTCCAGTCATAGTCTCCATGGTGGGCATTGCTTCTCTTTGAGCCTGATCTTGTAGTCAAGTAGCTGGAGGACCACTAATTCTGTGTCATATATGAGCCTGTTGGTCTCTGTGATGGTGCAGGTTGGGATTGTGGACAACGCTTCATTAACTGAAGCCAGCATGCTGTCTGGTGGTAGCTTTCCAGTGATCTTCGGTAGTCATGTCCACTGGTCAACGACTGCTTGTTTTAATAGGATCATTTCCCTTTTATCTGTTATGCCATCTTGGGGTATGAATTCAGGTTGACAATTCTCTGGTGCAGGTAAGAATGTGGGTATGGGAATTTCTTCCTCCTCATGGTGCATGATTGATTTCTTCTGTAGTTTATTTATTTCCAGTTGTGACACTAGATTTCTCTTGAAGATGTTCAAACGTCGTGTAACCAGCTGTTTTGGTGTTAGGGTAGATGATGCTCTCTTGTTCATCTATAGCTCCCACATATGTTTCATGTAGCCTCTCTTGTTGGGGCTGCTGTTGTAGTAGCATTCAAGCAGGTCTAGCTTCTCGTTCCGTGTCCAGGAATGATTTGTTCCAGTAGCCCACTTGTCAGATTGCCCTAGTTCCCTAGCATCTGACGCGGACCTTGTTAATCCAGGGGATGTCCGAGCCGGCATGACTCTCTTGGTTCGTGTTGCTCTCATATTATTGAGGTGGGATATAAAATATACAGGCATACCCCACTTTTAAAGTGAAGCAATACCTTTTTTTTCACTTCCCAATGTATGTACTGCATTGCAATAGTCACTTACAGGCATGACTGATATAAATAATGTATTGATAGTGTTAGAATGCCAGGTTTTAAAGCATGGTTTATGAAGAACAATTGTTGAAGGGCATTTGTCTCCAATAGGTCAGATCTCTCATGAAAGCCATTGTGGAGAAGACATGTGAGGCATTGCAAGTCTTCTGGCATTTGAGGAGGGTTAAAAATGTTTGCATGTGGAGATGTAATGATTTTGGCACTATATAAGCTTTTTTTTAGTGGTTATATTCATAGATTTAAAATTTGTAACCGTAATCTAATACAATCTGTAACGGACCATTTTACACATAAGAGGTTAAAAACCGTTTAGGTGATATTCCCCTTTCCAGATGCACCGACAGCTACTGTAAGCACCAATCTCCCTAACCACAAACTACACAAATTCACCAAATCCCGAACAGCAAACACACGAATACTGGAAACAGCCGAACAGGAAAAGCATACAATCAGCTTACACTCCTGGCAATTAGCATACAATCCAATTCCCCCAATAACGAGACGACACTTTGTTTTGAGGGTCAAGCAGGAACAGACAGAGCTGTGGGTTTATTGTTCTTATATACACATAAGTACAACCCACAGGGTTTTGGAAAGCAAACAATAAACACGTACAATACACTCAGACACTCCCACACAAAATTCTCCCCTCTGCCTGTGATACAATTACCTTACACAATGGGTAATGTAATTATAACAGCCAGAGAAATACAGTTTTTCCACATTATTTTTACATTTTTAGAATCAGCATACTCCAAATACAAACATATGTCAAAATCATCCAAATTGGTCCACTGGTTCAAAAGATAGATCGAAGTCCTTTGTGACCAAATGAAGCATGGCTTTTCTGCCCCAAACCAGTTCCACAGAGTCTTCTATCCTGGAGATAATTGGGAATTAATCCCTTTATCTCCAAGGACAGAGGCAAAACTCCATTAAGCACATGGCAGTAAAAAGACAGTAAAATAGAATAAAATACACCAGGTTACATTTATCACATAGAACATACACATTCAATCGCCATGGAGCCAAAGTCTTTCATACAGTCTTTCAGTATAGGCTGGGCTCCATGGCATTGCTATCTGGGGTAGCATGGCTTTAACAGTCTGCAGAAAGGCACAAATACGCTTTTCTGCAGGGAAAATAAAAGGTTTTAACTGCCGGGCCATAGTCTAAAGAGAGCAGGCGAGCAACCAGGCTCCTCCAGTGGACAGTGGCGAGGCTGGTTTCGCCACACACTCACGCTGTATACAGTTTTATTTCAATAAAACATCAATTTGGTGTATTTTAAAATGCTAGAATTTGCATGGTTTCTTCTCTTAAATCCTATCTATTAAGGCTAGTAATCTTAACATCTACCCCCACCCTTTTTTGGAATGCTTTCGTACACTGGAAATTGTTATTTTTTTTTTTTTTTAACTGGGCAAATCTTTTGCAGAGTTAAATGAGCAAGGGAAAAAGAAATGTACCTGTGACTTTAAAATATATTCGGGGAGTCACCCCTGTGTGTTGGTAGAGGCCTGCTCTGAAACTGCAGAGCTGCTCCGGGCGAGAATAGAACCTTCCATTTCCTGTTCCCTTGCTGACAGAAGAGGCGCAGGAATGTCCGCACTCACGAGACACTTTACATACACCCGCGGGTATGTCCGTACTCGCAAATCTACTTAAAGTGAGGGTACGCAAAGCGGGGTATGCCTGTATATATATTTATTTTTCTCTGAGAACCAGCAAATTGCGAGAATGAATTTTAGTAGGTGATTTAAAATGTGAGGTCATTTCTAAAATGAATGTCAATATTACCCGTAATCGAGAAATTTGTTCAGATGTTTGGCTGCTTCACCATACTTATGGTTCTTCATCTGTGTTTACATGTACACTAACTGTTTCTCTCAAACTTTTCTTTACAGAATTAGAGTGGAAACTTGCTGAGTCTGGTGCGGTAAAAACAGATCTTGAGGAAAATCCACAAAAGCAGATTCAGGACCAGCTCATGACTTCCATTCATACTTGAATGCCCACCAGAAAAGACAGTGATTCCGACGACGATTGATATATTTTGTGTAGTTTTCCATCCAGTGTAACTCTTACAAGAGATGGATTATTTGGTTAGGATTCATATTTTATTAAAATATGGATTTGTCATGTAAGATTTTCTTACTGTAACACACATTGTTTTGTCTCATGTTAAAGCCTTCAAAACCTGCATTTATCTAGCAGCCTTACTAATGTAGGTAAAAGTCAATAAAAGACTGTTAGAACATGTCGTATTTGGAGATTTATGCACTGGATAATGTCAAACTAAGTGTTTATATCTTGTAGATTTTGGTTGCCCCACTAATGTTAAGGCTTTGAGTTCTGCTGCCCCTCCCACTGGTTATTAATAAATAGTAATACCAGGAACTTAATAATTAAATTTGCATTTTTAAATGGAAGATTTACTATAATTCTATTTTTTTTTAAATTAAAGGACATTTACATTTTATATTTAAAGCGGAACTGTTATGGCCGAATCCAGTTATTTTTTTATTTTTTATTTTTACCCCCTAAAGACCGCGGACATACTAGGTAAATCCGACAAACGGTCCTTAATAAATATATAACTATCATAAAGATGATTTTAATTTCTTAGATCTTAAGATTTTTATTAAAGAAGGTACTGTAAATACTAAGAATTTTTGAAAAAAGGTATGCACAAGGGGCGGAGTCAAGCAGCCGAGCTGAATGGCCGCACACAAACAGAGCTCTGAGCATACAAGCTGGAAAAACCACTTGAAGACCCTAAAATCGTGACAAAGACTCAGCCTGTAGCCTTAAAGGACAACTATAGTGCCAGAAAAGCATACTTGTTTTCCTGGCACTATAGTGCCCTGAGGGTGTCCCCACCGTCAGGGACCCCCTCCCGCCCGGCTCTGGAAAGCTCCAGTGCTGGGCGGGGAGCTCTCTGCCTCCGATCCTCCTCCGTTCCTCCCTGTCGGCTGAATGCACACGCGCGGCAAGAGCTGCGCGCGCATTCAGCCGGTCGCATAGGAAAGCATTAGCAATGCTTTCCTATGGACGCTTGCGTGCTCTCACTGTGATTTTCACAGTGAGAATCACGCAAGCGCCTCTAGCGGCTGTCAATGAAGGCTTAACCCATTCATAAAAAAATGGGTTAACACTAGCTGGACCTGGCACCCAGACCACTTCATTAAGCTGAAGTGGTCTGGGTGCCTAGAGTGGTCCTTTAAAGCTTGCACCGTGGCACGGTGAACAAGACAACTACCTGGTGACTACCGCAGTGCTGAAGACACTTCTGGCAGACCTCCAGAAGAGTATCCTGATGGACATTGCACTAATCCGTACCGACCTACAAGGTGTGACAGGCAGAATGGCGGTGCTAGAGACTGCATCCAGGGACCAAGCACAACAGATAGAGACGTTGCAAAAGGCAGTCCTGGGGCTCCAACAGCATAGTGAGCAGACTGAACACCGCTTCACCGCCATCGAAGACTGGAGGTGGAAAAACAACCTCAAAATTCGAGGCATCTCTGAAGAGGTCCAAACCGCGGAGATTCCGCATTTCCTGAGGCAACATACTCACCCCACGACAAGGTAAAATGGTGGGAATCGATGGGTTCTTCCGAGTGCCAAAATCCCCCAGAGCACCAGACAACATACCTATAGACCTGATCCTCCGGTTGCAGAACGGCAAAGACAGGGCAGCAGTGCTGGCGGCAGTGAGGGACCACACACCATACGGATTTGAAGACGTCCCTCGCATTTTTCCCAGACCTGTCAGGGAGCACGCTAGCCTGGCGAACACACCGACCGTTTACCACTCTTGAGGCAGCGACAAATACCGTACTAATGGCGGCCAACCCGCACCATACAGATCCAGCAGGGAGGAACTAAACACCTGATCCACAATCCCGCGGAAGCAGCAGCCCTCCTACCCGCTCTCAACCTGCCTCCAGACGCTCTGACACCAACCAGGAACGGGGCAGCAGTCTTTACACCGCACCAGTGGAACCCAGAGACTGTGATCCCCTTCTCCCCGAGACAGAAGGCTAAAAGAGGATACACAACGGCCACCACATGAGAAGAGTGCCAAGATGGACATTCAACACTTTACACAGCCTTACTCCACCACCCTGGGTGGTAAAGTTAACAAAGTTTATGTTTCCCCCACTTACCCAGACATGCTCAGCACACGACACACGAGAGCTCACTAACAACCTTGACCAACTCACATTCAGACCGACAGCCACATCAAGCAGACCAGATCCCCCCACACACGCCCTTTGGAACCATTACCCATGAACACTCATACCTCACTAGCATTGAGGGCGCCATTAAGATGAGTACCACGCCACCACGGAGCGCACAGCAGCCGCAACCTATATTTAAACCACAACAGATTAACGGTACACAAGACAGTAGGGTCTAAAGCACATTACACTGCCAGTACTCAACAGTACCCGGAGTCTGATACCCAGGCGAGATCCCATCACCACACATAGCTAGCTCTGCACGACATCTCACCTTAACGATTTCAACTAAAAACTAAAAATGTGCTATTTCTATATATGCCATGTTTTGCTTCTCATTGAATGTTCATATTGTGATTGGTATAGCTATCGTGGCGCACCAATCGTGTATGTTATCACCAGCACAATAAAATAAAGAATTTTTAAAAATGGTATGCACAAACACTGTGATAGATCAAAGAAGTTGTCACTATACTCCCTGGCTTGAAAGTGCGCCCAAAAGCCCAGTGTTTAAGATTAAAAAGAAACTGCTCCAAACTAAAAGATTTTGATGAACAAACGACAATTAATTTTTATTAAATTTTTGGAAAAAAAATATTCAGAAGATAAATTAGACTTAATAATTACGAATGTTAAATTGAACGAAAGAGATAGCCTTCTCAAATATAGAGATAAAAACATTTTTAAAAAGGTCCATTCAATTATATTTGTTTTAGTAATAAAGATAGAGAAATTAAAAAAAAAATCAAAAACATTAGCATATCCTACAACAAGACGATGTTTTAAATAAGATCATTCCTGTAAAACCAAATATTCTTTTTAGAGATGCCCCTAATTTTAAATACCTTCTCACAATTTTTTTACCAGAAACAAATCAGCCAAATCTTCTACTTTATCTAACACAGAAGGTTTTTTTTAAATGTAGAAAATGTGTTGTGTGTACAATTACACAGGGGTCAGTTCCTAGTACGACCACACAATTCATGTCTAACATTACAAATAAAACTTATATAATAAAATATTTCATTACCTGCAACACAAAGAATGTAATCTACCTATTGGAATGCCCTTGTGGCCTCCAATACGAAGGTATGACATCTAGAAATCTCAAAACCAGAATATCAGAACACTGCCGTAATATTAAAAATGGATATGAGAGCCATACGGTTTTTACACAGTTTCTACATATAATTATAATGAAATCCATGTTTGGCCCCTTTTTGACAGTGTCATGAATGGGATGGGCATAGTCATTATCACATAAAGCCAGGGTGAATAGCATTTTCACAACTATGGTGTCAGCAATACATGTATGTATGTATTCCTGACACTGTAGTGTTCCTTTAATCAAATTACAGGAACATTCTACTCCTTCTCCTACTTTACCTGTGTGCTCCTACTGCCCCTTCCAACCCCTTCTTGCTCCTTGCTGTCTCTTCCTGCTCATTTCTGTTCCTTGCTGCACTTTCTTCTCCTTTACTTTCCTGCTCCTTCTGTCCCTTTCTGCTAATTTCTATTCCTTTCTGTTCCTTTTCCTACTTTACCTTTGCGATCCTTCTGTCCCTTCCAGCTCCTTTCTACTCCTTGCTGCCATTTCCAGCTCCTCCTACTTTACCTTTGTGCTCCTTCTGATTCTTTCTGCTCCTTTACCTTTGTGCTCCTTGCTGCCCCTTCCTGCTCCTTGCAGCCCCTTCCTACTCCTTCTCCCACTTTACTTTTCTGCTCCTTCTATCTCTTCCAGCTCATTTCTGACCCATTTTATTTTTTATCTTTTATGATTTGTTTATCTATATTTTCTTCATTCATTTCTATATTTTGAATTTTTTTAACCATTGATATATTTAAAAAAAATTTTTTGCATTCATTTTTTTTAATGATATTTGACTACACTTTTCATGTGTATATATACATTTTTATCATCGGTATATGAGTCAGAATCAAAATTAAAATTAAATGGATTGTTTAATATATATTTTTTATCATATCTTTTTTATTATTTTTATTTTTTTTATTAATAACCATAATGGGTTCCTATGTAAGGGTACAGTATTCCCATATTTAATGTGAAATATTAAACAAGCGAAAATTCTAGAGATTCATTTGGAAGCAGTTTACATACAACATGCAAAGTTAGCTTTAAATTTTTCTATATGAAATCTTAGATAAATGCACTATAGTTTATAATATACATTATTCTTCTATATATGGGGAACAAATCTTTATCAATGGATCTCTTTTTTCTTCATAACAGTGATTAGATGTGGAGTTATTGCCATTCCGTTATTATTATTTTTTTTTGCTTTTATGCCATTAGCAATCTATTTACTATGTAAGTCATAGGTGGAACGCATGTATCCATGCAATGGAACACACACGTCATCATTAAGCATCCATGTGAATTGCTGCACCGGAAGTGATGTCATGAAATCGGCAAACAAACAACGCCCAAGGGAACACCAATGAGGAGACCAGCCACCCATATAAAAGAATAGACTCAGGGGGGAGGGATTATACTGCTTACTTTTGTTATTGTGATTGCTGTTATATTTTTAATACCAGGAGGTCCCTGAGGAAGTCCTTTGAGGATGAAACGCGTAGGACCTGGTAATATAAGAGCTTATGCTTTTATCTTTTTACTTATTTTAAATAAAGAAGATTTTTTTATTCTACAACCCTGAGTCTGACTGTGCTTATTTTGGAACTTTGGAAACAGGAGGAGTGGTTTCTTACCCCCCATCTACATCAGGGGAGGCACCCTTGGGCAATAATCTTTCATCCTTCTTGTAAGTGATATTCCACATAGCGCATTTATACTTAACCAACAGTGTTACACTATTATTTGTTTTTCACTTACATTGTAGATCTGCAGCTGTATCCTCCTTTGTTTGTATGCATTGCTGACCCTTTCTGCTACTTGATGTCCCTTTCTGCTCATTTCTGTTCCTTCTCCTACTTTACCTTCCTGCTCCTTGCTGACCCTT